ACTATAGCACTTTGTTATAGCAGCCCAAATTAAGATAAAGACCTAAATAAATAGAGTTATACTATATTCATGGGTTGGAATCAATGTTGTTCAGATGTCAATTCTCCCCAAACTGATCTATGTAATCAATGTAATCCCAATCAAAATCCTAGCAAGCTTTTTTTGGTACCAATTGATAAGCTGATGCTAAAATCCACATGGAAATACTAGAAATCTAAAAGAGCAAAAACAATTTTGACAAAGAACGAAGCTGGAAGATTTATACTACTTGATTTTGAGACATATTATAAAGCTACAGCAATCAAGACAATGTGTTATTGGCATAAAGATAGATAAATAGGTCAATAGAACAGAAAAGGCCAGAAACAGACCCACACAAATATGTTTAACTGATTTCAAAGTAGTGCAATATCAATTCAGTAAAGGAAGGACAAGGTAGTCTTTTTTTTTTTTTTTTTTTGAGACGGAGTCTCTCTCGCTCTGTGGCCCAGGCTGGAGTGCAGTGGCCGGATCTCAGCTCACTGCAAGCTCCGCCTCCCGGGTTTACGCCATTCTCCTGCCTCAGCCTCCCGAGTAGTTGGGACTACAGGCGCCCACCACCTCGCCCAGCTAGTTTTTTGTATTTTGTAGTAGAGACGGGGTTTCACCATGTTAGCCAGGATGGTCTCGATCTCCTGACCTTGTGATCTGCCCGTCTCGGCCTCCCAAAGTGGTGGGATTACAGGCTTGAGCCACCGTGCCCGGCCTAAGGTAATCTTTTTAACAAATGGTGCTGGAATAGTTGGATATAGCCATACACAAAAAAAGGAAGAAGATGAAGGAAGAAAGGAGGAGGAGGAGAAGGAGGAGGAGGAGGAGGAGAGAAGAAGAAAAAGAAGAAGAAGAAGGAGGGGGGGGAGGAAGAGGGGGAGGGGGAGGGGGAAGAGAGGGAGGGGGAGGGGGAAGGGGAGGGGAAGGGGAGGGGGAGGAGGAGGAGAAGGAAAAGGAGAAGAAGAAGAAGAAGAAGAAGAAGAAGAAGAAGAAGAAGAAGAAGAAGTTGTTTAACTCATACTCACACATATGTGAAAATTAACTCAAGTTCAATCACAAGTCTAAACGTAAAACCTAAAGCTATAACACTTCTAGAAGAAAACATAGGAGAAAATCTTTGTGACCTTGGGTTAGGCAAAGATTTTTTAGATACAACACCAAAAAGCATGATACATAAAAGAAAAAATTGACACACTGAACTTCATCAAAATGTCAAACTTCTGCTCTGTGAAAGACATTGTTTTTTCCCCTTTTTCAGTGCAGTAAGCTAAGAAGACCTTTTTAAGAGAATGAAAAGACAAGTCACACACTGGGAGAAGATATCTGTAAATCACATAGTTGACGAAGGATTTATTTCTAGAATATATGAAGAGCTCTCAAAACTCAATAAAAATAGACGAAATATTTGAACAGAAATTTCACCAAAGAAGATAAATGGATGGCAAATTAGCACACAAAAAGATACTCAAAGTCATTAGTTATCAGGGAGATACAAATTAAAGCTCTAATTTTGGTGCAGTTTATACAATTATTAGAATGGTTAAAATGAAAAAGGCTGATAGTAGCGAGTGTCAGTGGAGGAACTGGAATTCTCCTACATGGCTGGTGGCAATGCAAAATGTTATGACCACTTTGGAAAGCATGAGCAGATACCTACCACATGGCCCAGATGTTCCACTCCGAGGTATTTACCCAAGAGAAGTGATAGCACGCAAAGAGACTTGTACATGAGTATTCATAGCAGCTCAATTTGTAATAGCCCCAGACTGGAGAGAACCCAAATGCCCATCGACTGGTGAATGAGGATGGGAGTGAGGCAGGATTACAAAGGGGCAGAAGAAAACTTTTAGGGGTGATGGATATATTCATTATCTTGATTGTGGTGACTGTTTCACAGGTATATACATAATACAAAACTTATCCAATAGTATAATCTAAACACGTGCAATTTATTGAATGCCAATTATGCTTTTTTTTTTTTTTTTTTTTTTGAGACAGTTTTACTCTTGTTGTCCAGGCTGGAGTGCAGTGGTGCGGTCTTGGCTCACTGCAACCTCCACTTCCCGGTTTCAAGCGATTCTCCTGCCTCAGCCTCCTGAATAACTGGGATTACCGGCATGAACCACCATGCCCTGCTAATTTTTTATTTTTAGTGGAGACGGGATTTCACCATGTTGGCCAGGCTGCTCTCAAACTCCTGACCTCAGGTGATCCGCCCGCCTCAGTCTCCCAAAGTGCTGGGATTACAGGCATGACCTAATGTGCCCATCCCCAGTTATACCTTAATAAAGCTGTTAAAAATAGTAATTAACAATGATGTCCAGTTTGTTGGGAAAAAAAAGAAAGAGAAAGGACAGAATTAAAAACTGGAAGACAATGGTCTGCAAGATAGGAGGGAGTGATGGGAGTTAAAGGGTTTGGGACTCCTATATTATTCAAGGAAAAATTAAGGATTGTGAGGATATTAACTGTAGTCTTTGTTGAAAATCTATGTATAATACAAAGTTCAAGATTCAAAATAGAGGCTATACCCTCCAAACTGTAGAAGGAGAAAGAATGGCATAAGAAAACAAAAATAGAACTTAATCCAGAAAAAGGCAAAAAAGACAATAAGGAAAGGGCCACTGGCTTTTTCTCTTCTGTCCCAGCCTGTGTGTCATTGCAGATGGGCAGATCTGCTGCTCTGCATCAGACTCAGGGCCTCGGCACTCACATCCAGCCCCATGGTGCCATCCCAGCTGTCAGCCTGAGGTGCTTGCTTGCCACACCTTGAAGTGATACTGGCAGAGAGCTCTTCCCTGCTCCTGGGAAGATTCCCCCAAAGCACATCACAGGCCCTTGCATGTCTTAGGCGCTTTCCACCTTCTCTGTTTCTGTTTTCTTTCCCCCTAGATGCACCTCCCTTGCCTACTTCCTGGATGAATTTACAAATTTCTCCTTAATAGACCTCAAGCGATTAGAATCATAAGATCCAATTATTTGTTAAGAGTAGGGAGGGGGAAAGAGGCCTTAAATAATCCATTTTGGTGTTAAAATGTTTCTTTTTGGCCGGGTACGGTGGCTCACACCTGTAATCCCAGAACTCTGGGAGGCCGAGGTGGGTAGATCACCTGATGTCAGGAGTTTGAGACCAGCGTGGTCAACATGGTGAAACCTTGTCTCTACTAAAAATACAAAAATTACCCGGGCATGGTGGTGCACACCTGTAGTCCCAGCTACTTGGGAGGCAGGAGAATAGCTTGAACCCAGGAGGTGGAAGTTGCAGTGAGCGAGATTGTGCCATTGTACCCCAGCCTGGGCGACACAGCAAAAACTCCATCTCAAAAAAAAAAAAAAAAAAGTTTCTTTTAAGGAAATAGCTGGACTGGTAAATGATAGTTTATTATTTTTGTTATATTTACTGTCCTAATTTGGCAAAACTAAATGTTTGCAATTCTTCAATGTTCCTCCATTTTTTTCTGAAGTTTCACCTCCCAGGAAAAGTCTCCAAACTGGAAACTCTCATTCTCAGGATAGGTGAGCGGTGACTTTTTGCTTCTTTTTGTTTAAGGGGGAATGAATAGAATCTCACGTAAATACCAAAGACTGCAGCTCTGAGTCTTCGAGTACAAACATAAAACCAAGGTGTATCAAAATGGGGGATTCAAAGTGGCAACTGGTAAGGGAGTGGTCTTTCTCCCCTACCTGTCAGGAGGGAGCTGGGACCTCTTGGTGGTACTTTGAGAATAAGACAGTGTCTCTGAGTAATATTTGCATGTCTCATAAATCCACTGAAACTTGGAATTCCACGGATGGCAATCTTAGGTTGTCCGGGAGAGAACTCTGCCTCTCAGACGATGTCAATTTATTTAGCCTAGTCTGCGAATGGGCAAGGGATGGGAGTGGGATGGCCCAGCTGACCGCCTTCTGGTTCCCAGGAAGCCCTGGCTCCAGTGGAGAGATTCAGAGGACAGGAGGATTCTTTCCTTCCAGGGAAACCCCAGCCAAGGGATTTTTCATGGGCGAAGCCTGCTTTTGATGCCCTTCTAAGGTGCATTCTGACAGTGTGTGTGCCCAGGTCCCAGCAGAAGATTTGGGACCATCTGAAACTTGCTGCTCCCTATATCCCAAACACCTTGGTAGGTACACACGGTGCCTGGAGCCTGGGTGCAGCACACAGAGCTCGGGCCTGGGAGCTCACTCTCCACCAGGAGAAGGTATTTGGTGCAACCCCAGTGCAGGGGCCTCGGGCACAGGCTGGCACCTTCTGGTGAGCTGTTCTTGCTTCATCAGACCAGTTCCACCTCCACCCAGTACCCCAGGCCCTTGAGGTTCTGACCACAGGGCCATTATTGAACTGTTTCTCCTGCCTTTCCAGCAGGGACAGGTGCAGAGGACTTCAAGAAACATTGATTGCAAGGGTCTGGCGGGAGTGACATTGGTGCTGCCACTCCAGAAAGCTGTTTAGCAAGAGGTGTCAGTCACTTCAAAAATGTTCACTCCCTATGACCTGGCACTACCACGCATGCAAATCCTTTTAAGAAATCTCCCGGCCGGGTGCAATGGCTCATGCCTGTAATTCCAGCACTTTGGGAGGCCGAGGCAGGCGGATCACTTGAGGTCAGGAGTTCAAGACCTGGCCAACATGGTGAAATCCCGTCTCTACTAAAAATTCAAAAATTAGCGGGGCATGGCGGTAGATGCCTGTAGTCCCAGGTACTTGGGAGGTTGAGGCAGGAGAATGGCTTGAGCCAGGGAGATGAAGGTTGCAGTGAGCTGAGATCGCGTCACTCAACTCCAGCCTGGGCGACAGAGCAACACTCTGTCTCAAAAAAAAAAAAAAAAAAGGGAAAGAAAAAGAGAAAGAAATCTCCCAATGCAGATAAAGCCCCAGGCAAATATTCACCCACACTTATCTACAATAGTGAAAATGGAAGCAAATTAAAATATCGAGTGATAAAGAATTGGTTAAATAAACTGAGACACACTGATAGGATGGAATACGCAGCTGATGAACATTTTATTTATAAAAAGTTCTGTAAAACACAGAGAAGTGCTGGAATAAAGTGATGGAACAATAAAGTGGAAAAGGCAGGATACAAAGTTGTATATACAAGATAATTGCTCTGTAAAAAGAACACCGGCAAATTATGTGGAGAAGAAAAGAGTGGAAGGAAATACAACAAAATGAAATAATGATAGTCTCTGGTGAGACAATGGGTGACATGTTTTCTTCCTTTTCTTTTTCCTCTCCATCTTTGCAAGTTTTGCATACCGAACAACTCTTAATTTCACTTTTTAAAGAAATAAGGCCAGGCGCGGTGGCTCACGCCTGTAATCCCAGTAATTTGGGAGACTGAAGCAGGAGGATCATATGAGGTCAGGAGTTCGAGACCAGCCTGGCCAACATGGTGAAACCCTGTCTCTACTAAAAATACAAAAATTAGCCAGGTGTGGTGGTGCGTGCCTGTAATCCCAGCTACTCGGGAGGCTGAGGCAGGAGAATCGCTTGAACGTGGGAGGCGGAGGTTGCAGATCGTGCCACTGCACTCCAGCCTGGGTGGCAGAGCGAGATTCTGTCTTAAAAAACAATAATAATAGAAAAAGAAAAAAAAACAGTAGTTGTGCTACTTTACCCCTACTCCCTGACCCCTCCTCCAGGGGGCTGGACTCGGAGTCACCTTCAGGTATCCGCCCTGTTCCTACTCTCCTCCGTATTAGACACCCACATGCACTCTGGTTTCCTACTCTTCTCTCTAGCCACCAGAGCCCATAGGCAAGTAGCCCTTTCTAGACAAGGAAGGAGCCAAGGTTTTCTTCATCATTTTTCCAAAGGCAAGAAGGCATGGCCAGGGAGGGTGAATGGAAAGCAACCACTCTCGGCTGGTCCTGGGCTTATCCCTGCAATGTGCACCTGACCTGATCCAGGCTTGGACTTAGGCAGGCCTCAGGGGAGTGCCCAGCTGGGTCATGGTGTCACGGACAGAGCAGATCTTATGGGGGCAGGTGGGAGACGTCACAGCCCAAATGCAGACTCTAAGCTGGAGGGGTCTGAGCGTTCATCAGGCCCGCTGGTCCTCAAACTCAAGTGCGACAGTCACTGGGCATTGTTAGAAATTCAGAGTCCTGCACCAAGTCCCAGAGATGGTTTTGGTGGGTCTTGGTTGGCCCAGGAATCACATTTTTCACAGGCTTCCTGAAGGGCTGGGATGCAGGGGGTTCAAAGAGGAGCCAGAATCCCAGTCTCACCCCAGCATGCTCCTTGTCATCACCAGCTGATGCAGGAGACCGTGGGACTAAGTCTGAGGACGCCAGGGAGGGAGGACAAGGTGGGGTCTGGAGCGGGAGGAAGGCAGGTCCGACACTGGGCATGAGGCCCAGGAGAGTTTGTGGCAGATAGAAACTCAGGACAGATCCACTGAGCCTTGCCTGGCCCTGCTGAGGGTCAGCAGCCTGGTGCCCTGCCTAGGGATGTGAACCTATCAGGGATGTCCCAGTCTCCAGCTGGAAGGGCAAGGCCACCGCTCTGGGCTTCGGGGCTGACAAACACTTCTAGGTCAGGCTGGAGCATGCAGGAGGAGAGCCTGGGGAGGGTTGGGAGAGCCTGGAGTCCAGGCAGCTGGACTCTGAGGCTGAGGTGGAAAGCTTTCGCGAATCAGTGCTGATCCAGCCAGCCACACTGCTTCACGGCTGGCCTGGCCAGGAGGGCCTCCTGCCCTACACTGAGACAAACTTCGAGAAACCCAGCTCCTCCTCAGATGTGTGGAGGGGAGGCATCGAGATCACGTCCCCCTCGGGGGCCTGGGAAGGGGCTTCCTCTTCCTCTGTAGTCTGTAAAGACAACAGTGGGGTTTGGAGAGCAGAACCCAAATGAAGGGGTAGGGGGTGTGAGGAGTGGTCCCCAGGTAGCTGCTGTGTCCACCCAGCCTTTTCCACAAATTCCAGCCCTCCATCCACCTGCAGGGGCACATGACCTAACAACTTCTCCTCCCCAGAACTCCCAGGCTTTGATTCATGGCCTCTCATGACCCCAATCCATCCCTCCCCCGGGGTGCCCTCAAGGCTCCAGGCTGGGTTCTGGCACAGTTGTGGCCTCCTGCCAGCCCACAGGACTGTCAGCTGTGACTCCCAACAAGCTATTCAGGAATTTTCTGGACCGGAAAAAAGAGGATGTGAGGTCAAAAGCCCTGGCTTCCCTGGTGAAATGGGCTAGGGCTGTGGCTGTGATGGGGAAGGTGGGTGAATGCGGGGGTGTGGGGTTTGGGGAGCAGATGCTGAGGAAAAGGCCTTCTTCCACTTCCTCCAATTGTCAGAGTGGAGGCAGGCAAGGTGGCTCTGCAGCCCCTCCCTTCCCAGGGCCCTTCTGTCCATACCTGGCTTAGATACTGGATCTCTGTGTGGAGGCCGGGAGAGGGCTCAGGGATGGTGAGAGGCCCCATGGACCCTGCAATGTTGATCACGGCGTCCTCTGTGTCCCGGCCATTCCCCAGTGGCTGTAACAGAGACTTGGTCAGAACAGCCTGTTCTTGGCAGCAGGGATGGTCTACGAGCCCAGCCAAGCCCAAGCAAGAGGAGGGAAACATGGGAGGGGTGGGCAAGGCAGGGAGGTGCTGGGAGGGGAGAATATTAAGCTCCTGCGTGCCTCTGCCACTTCCTTCCTTTGTGCCTTGTCCAAAGAAGGACGAGCTGTCTCACCTCTCTGAAGCTCAGTTTCCTCAGCTGTAAAACTAGGTAAGAATTTGTCCTTTGGGATTATAATATTCATAATAGCATCCTACCACTCAACCAGTGAGAACTTCTGGAATGACTGATTTGTTTTCATTATTTTCTATCCTTTAAAGCAGAAAGATCATGCAGGCTGCAGGTTCTTTGTAACAGGCCAGGAGAAAGCAAAGTTGAACATGCCAAAGATGCATTGAATAACAAGGGGCACATGAGATAATGGGTCTGAGCAATCCATTATCTATCAGATGAGGAGACCACGGCCCAGGGAAGAGAGAGGTAGTCCAAGATCAGTGGGGAGGCCCATATTCTGACCCGGGCCTGGCTGTTCCCATGGGTCCTCAGATCAGGAACGCCAGGCCCATCCATCTCGGGCCTTGCCCTAGCAGGTGGGCAGAGCAGAGGCTGGAGCCGGCCAAGGTCCCCAGCCAAGACTCCCAAGGCCACAGGCTGCCCTGAGGTTTCCTGGACAGTGAATCCCATGGTCAAATGGGCACTGATGCTAGAGAAAGAAGCTCCCATTTTTTGGGTATCTATGGGGTATGTCATCTCACTCTTTTCTATTTACAACCATGTGAGCTATGGCAATAGGGGCTCAGAAAGGTAATGCAACCTGCTTGACATCACACAGCTGGCAAATGGCTGAGCTGGAACTCATACCGGAGACTGTCTGACTGCAGACCCAAGCTCTTTCCCTATACCCTGCTGCCATCCTGGCAGGGTGTGTGACACATTTCTCTTGGGCTTGGTGTTCGTGGTATACTAACCAGGCCCCAGCTTCACTCAATACCTAGCTTCTGGGGATGGGGGCAGAGGTAGATGTTTGAGCCATCTCTTGTTAGAAATGTCTAGATGAAGGCTGGGTGTGGTGGCTCTCGCCTGTAATCCCAACACTTTAGGAGGCTGAGGCTGGAGGACTGTTTGAGCCCAGCAATTTGAGACCAACCTGGGCAACATAGTGAGACCCTGTTTCTCTAAAATTTAAATTAAAAAGATAAAAATATACTAAAGACACTCTGGGAGGCCAAGGCAGGCAGATCATGAGGTCAGGAGATTGAGACCAACCTGGCTAACACAGTGAAACCCCGTCTCTACTAAAAAATACAAAAAATTAGCTGGGCTTAGTGGCGGGCGCCTGTAGTCCCAGCTACTCAGGAGGCTGAGGCAGGAGAATGGCGTGAACATGGGAGGCAGAGCTTGCAGTGAGCTGAGATCACGCCACTGCACTCCAGCCTGGGCGACAGAGCGAGACTCTGTCTCAAAAACAGAAAACAGAAAACAAACAAACAAACAAACAAACAGAAACTAAAGAAAAGAAAGAAACACAGGATGACATCTTCAGCCTTCTGGAGACAAGGATTAGAGCTGAGTTCCTTGGGGGAAATGTGGGTGGTGATGGGGGCACTGGGAGGGGTAAGGCAACTCCCAAATGCTGCCACTCAGGGCTCTTGTCCCTCCTAGCCCTGCCCATGGTGAAGACAGAGGGGGCCTTGGTGCAGGGCAGACCTGGGGCTACTCCAGAGGACTCCTGACATCACACCCATGAGTCCATATTTACAGCTTTGCAGTCTGGTTATAACCCAGCCACTGCTGACCCTGGACCACCAGCAGCTACAGAAGTGTCACCTGTTCCTGGGTGACCGAGTTTGAGGAAAGAGCCTCTCAGTACAGAGGCCAAACCACACACAGTAGTAGGCAGCAGCCAGGCCCACTACTGTAAGTCTGGTGTGATTCCATCTCTCCCCTGTCCCTCTGCCTCCACTGTGGACGATCGACCCTGTTCCAGCAAGCACAGAGGCATTTTCTGGGTTGCTAAATATGCAAGATATAGATCAGAGCCCCTGTTTCTAGGTACTAGTAATAAACATAGTAAAGAAAGAGGGAAGTCTTGGGAAGCCGGGTTGAGTTCTGATGGGAGCTTAGCAGGCTATTCATTTCCAGGAGTGAGGGTCTGCAGCTGTCCCAGGGTCTTTCTCCTGAGTCTGGGGGAGGAATCTTGGGTTGTGAGCTTGGCTTCATTCCTCAAACCCCTTGTACTTCAGTGCAGCAGGGTGGAGGACACAGAGGGCTCTGCAGCTGGCCCCATAGACCTGTCAGTTTCCCCAGTTCTGCCTCTTTCAGGCTGGGTCACTGTGGGCAAGTTCCCTTTTCTCTCTGAGCCTGTATTTCTTTTCTTTCTTTTTTTTGTTACTTGGTTTTTATTTCATAATCATAAACTTAACTCTGCAATCCAGCTAGGCATGGGAGAGAACAAGGAAAACATGGAACCCAAAGGGAACTGCAACGAGAGCACAAAGATTCTAGGATACTGCGAGCAAATGGGGTGGAGGGGTGCTCTCCTGAGCTACAGAAGGAATGGTCTGGTGGTTAAGATAAAACACAAGTCAAACTTATTCAAGTTGTCCACAGTCAGCAATGGTGATCTTCTTGCTGGTCTTGCCATTCCTGGACCCAAAGCGCTCCATGGCCTCCACAATATTCATGCCTTCTTTCACTTTGCCAAAGACCACATGCTTGCCATCCAACCACTCAGTCTTGGCAGTGCAGATGAAAAACTGGGAACCATTTGTGTTGGGTCCAGCATTTGCCATGGACAAGATGCCAGGACCTGTATGCTTTAGGATGAAGTTCTCATCTTCAAATTTCTCCCCATAGATGGACTTGCCACCAGTGCCATTATGGCGTGTGAAGTCACCACCCTGACCCATAAACCCTGGAATAATTCTGTGAAAGCAGGAACCCTTATAACCAAATCCTTTCTCTCCAGTGCTCAGAGCACGAAAATTTTCTGCTGTCTTTGGAACCTTGTCTGCAAACAGCTCGAAGGAGACGCGGCCCAAGGGCTCGCCGTCGACGGCAATGTCGAAGAACACGGTAGGGTTGATCATGGCTAGTAGTACAGGACTTTCCTCGGCGGCAGCGTCTGCAAAGCCGAGCCTGTATTTCTTCATCTGCAAAATGAGGCGGATAATAATCTACCTCGTGTGGGAATGATGAGGATTCAATGGCATATATAAAGCCCCTGACATGAATGGATGGATGGCAATCCTTCTAGCAAGATCTCTTTGGGAAAGAAAATGCTGGTCTGACCCCTAACACTTCCCTCAGGGTTTTCACACCCCTGTGAGGTTCTCTCAGAGTATGAGTAATGCATCCCCTCCCTCTTTGACCTGAATGTGGGCAAAGAAAACCCCAAAGCCCTTCAATTCCATCTCCAGACTCTGCTAAAACTTATGGAGAAGCCACAAGGGAAATAATCAAGAAAAAGCAGAAGCTCCCACCTGATCGTATTTACAAGGTTCTTGCCTCTGACCCTCTTGGGAGGCCCTGTTCCATCTTTCCCTCAACAAGGGGCTGCCCCTAGAGACCCTCTACCTGCTGGCCCTGTGCCCCTTCCTGTCCCCTCCCTCTTCAGCAGAGCCAGGGTCAGGTGCCTCAGGCAGGAAAAAGCCCAAAGCAGCCCTTCCCAGGGTTGCCAGAAGGCAGTAGCATGGGGGCTGTGGCTGGTACAGGTGCTCTCAGCATCCTTGGACCCCAACCCCTCTTCTGGAGCCAGGTGGGGTGAGACCCAGGCCCCAGGCCACAGAGGCAGGAGGCCGGACGTGGAGGCGGCCAGTGGCACCCACCATCCGTCCATCCATGTGTCTCCATGACTTTTCCCTTACTCCCCTCCGCTACCTTTGGCCCTGTTGAGCTTCCTGACACAGCAACAGCTGCTTCCTAAGCCACAGCCCAAAGTCCCATTTCCACCCCAGACCATCCTTGGGGGATCAGGCCTGAGTCTTTTGTCCTCACTGGCGCCAGGAAAGAAGGCAGTGGTAGCCCTGCTTTCCTGCCCTTGTGTTTAAAGGAATGGAGTGGAGGCATCTCAGTAAACAGCGGAGGGAGGAGGGGCCAGAGGCTTCTGTTTCCTGAAGTGCAATGCTGCAGCCCCCTCCATTGGAGTGCTGGCCTCGGAGGGCACAGTCTCTTCTTGCAGCAGTAGCCTTGGGGCAGGTTCCCTGCTCCAGATAATGGGCACAGGGACCCTTATTCTCTTGCCCCTGGTCCCCAGAGCACCACCCTCAGCCTGGGTCCTAGGGCAGCCATGTCACCTTGGTCTCAGAGCCAAGGAAGGCTCAGAGAAAACATCAGGGAGTTCTGGAAAGAGAAGGGCAGGGAGTCAAGAAATCTGGGTCCCGTTTTCTATTTGGGCCACCACCTGCTGTGTGACCATGGGCAAGACCTTTACCCTCTCTGGGCCTCAGTTTCATCTTTTGTAAAAGCACACTAGAGTCTGTAGCACTGCCAGAGTCCCTGGACCACACCCCTGGAGGGTTCAGCGGGGGCTGGGGCCCTGGAGAGTGCATCTCTAACAGCTCCCTGACCCCTGGGCATTCTGAAAGGGGATTTGCTTTAATCCGAGAGAAAGGTTGGGCTAGAGATCTCAAAGGCTTCCTCTGGATCTAGCTCCGATGTTCTGTAATTATAAAAGGAGGCATGGAAAGAAGGCGCCTGGAGAAGATGCTCACATGGCTCCTGGTGCCCACCCTGCCTGGCACCTGGCGGGAAATCAGGTTCCCACCTGTGAGTCCCCCACGGGCACTCTGTCCGGCTCACACCCTGAAGGACTGGTCTTCGGGCTCACAGAGGTTCCTCCAAGGTGGGGAGCAAGTGCTGCCTCCAGGTCAGGCATGCAGGCCCAGGTAGGAAGTTACAGAAGCAGAGCCCAGAAATCTTGACTTGCAGCCCCAAGGGGATCTGAGCTTGGGCTTCCCTACGCCTCTGTCCTTACCAAGTGTGAGAGGTAGACCTTCTCATTCCTCTGTGTCTCCATGTCCTGTCGAGCTGAAAGAGATGTAGAAGCAGGAGCTCCTTGAAGCCAGGTGTAGCCGGGAATGGCCTGGAGCTCGGCCCAGAAAGGCGTACTGGCCCCCTTGCATAAGGGAGCAGGGGCCTCCCAGAGGCAGGAGGCAGCCAGATGGGCAGAAGAGCCCCTTCCAGTTCAGCCCCTTGGGAATGACCCAGTCTTCTGAGATCAGTGCATGGAGATGATCTCATGAGGGTCAGAAACTGGCTGGGAAAATAAATCTGTGTGCTAAGGTCACTGCTACTTAAGCCTTAGTGTGCACATAGGACACCCTGGACATTTTCATACAGTGCAGAGTTTAATTCAGTAGGCTGAGGTGAGAGTCTCAGGGTCTGTATTTCTAACAGGCTACCAAGGGTTGCCACCGCTGCTAGCTGGCAATCAAAGTTTGGGAGGCAAGGTGCTAAGTGGCTCTGAGGTTGTGACCAGGAATGCTCCCACCCTGGATTCCTCAGAGGGGACCTGGACAAAGCCCACATTTCCTCCTAGGAGCCACATGGAAGAGATGGAAAGCGGGCCCAGGATTCCCCCATGGCCACCTCCACGGGGATGACATTGTGATTATCTTCCTGGCTTCACCACTTCCTAGCTATGCAAACAAAGGGCAAGCTGCTTAACCACTCTGTGCCTCAGTTTCTCCCTCTGGAAAATAGGTGTACTCCACAGTGTGGAGGAGATTAAAGAGGATAAGCAAGATAAGCTGGGGATAGTGTCTGGCACATGGTAGCTCTTATTACTGAGATTTTGGTTAATCCTTTTAGTCTTTGCCATCCAGCACAGCAGCCAGAAGCCACACATGGCCATCAGGCACTGAAATGTGACTATTTTACATTAGACTGGGTTTTGATGGCTCAATATGAAAAACATGAAAGTAGAATATGTATCATTGATATTTTCATATTGATTCCGTATCAAAATGAGAATGTTTTGGACATATTGGGTTAAATAAAGTACATTATTAAAATCAACTTCACTAGATTGGGCGTAGTGGCTCATGCCTGTAGTTCTAGTTACTCGGGAGGCTGAGGCAGGAGGATCGCTTGAGCCCTGGAGTTCAAGGCTGCAGTGAGCCATGATCACACCACTGCACTCCAGCCTGGGCGACAGAGTGTGACCCTATCTCTAAAAAAATAAGTAATTAAAATAAAATAAAATACACTTAACTGCACTCATTTCTTTTTACTCTTTTTCATGTGGCTATTCAAAAGTTTTAAATGACATTTGTGACTTGTATTCTATTTCTGTTTGATGTATATCTGTGATTTGAGATAAATGAGGCTTAGGGCAGTTAGATGACTTGCCTGAGCTCACACAGCTGAAAAGTGGCAGAGCTGGGATTTGAGCCCCAGTCTATGGAAGGGACTGAGCAGCTCTAGAGACCCAGTGGCAGGAGTGGGGTTACAGTGTCTGTCCTGCTCAAGTTCAAGTGCTTGGTCCTGCATTGCCCCTGGCAGTTGGTTCCCACACAAGGAGCTGGCCATGAATTCCCTGGGATCAACAGGTAGAGAAGTGTTTGATCAGTTCGGACAGGCAAGAAGGTGAGAACCCTTCGTTCTCCCATTTCCCCTTGTGAATTGCTTTCCTAATGTTGATTACCTTGTGGCTCCTTCAGAAGGGAGGCCATAGCTCCTGATGCCCACATTTCAGACAGACACGCTGAGACCCACAGGGTCTTTCCGGGGCTAGACGGGGAGCTGCAGGTCTCAGCGAGGTCCCTGGTCCAGTGAGCCTCCCACCTTCCTGCCACCCACCTTTGCTCACCTTCCTTTCTCCACAGGAGCAGGTGGCTGCTGAAGGCGATCAGGCCTGCGGCTGACAGAAGGCTCAGCAGCACCAGGACTGGGGCCAGTATGCGGACCATTGGGATGGACACCCTGGAGATGAGACACAAGGAGCCTAGTGGCTGTTACCAGATAAGCCAGAGTCTATGTCCTTTGGGGGTCCCAAGTACAGGCTGAGAAAGCCAATCCCTAGTGTGGAATTCAATTCAATGCAGCAAAGACTTGTGGGGGGTGTGGTGCGGGAGGGCGATATTTAGTGCTATTGGCTCTTGACAATCATTATTTAATTAGTGCAGACCCTGAAGCCAGGCTGTCTGGATTCAAACTCTAGCTCCACCACCTTCCTATACCTTGGGTAAGTGACTGAACCGCCCAGGGTGTCAATTTCCTCTTTTGTAAAATGGCTGTGGTGAGGATCAAATGGGTCAGGATGTGAAAAGCACATAGTTCAGTGCCAGACACATGCCAGGTACCATGTCAGTGTTAGTTGTTAAATTCCACAATCCCTGTGTAACTAGGTAGGAGTGGCTCAATTTCACACTGGAGAAACTGACACCTGAAGCAATGAGCGACTTGCCAGGTCACGCAGTGGTGTGCGGGGAAGTTCTCAGTGGCCTTTATCTGGGCTGGTGTCACTGGCACAGGCAAGTGGGGCATCCTGGCATTCTTACTGTGAGTCAAGCCATGTCCTTTATCTCTCCCAAGGAGATCAGAGGGCACTAGGGACCACGATGTCCCATCAGCCCTGTCTGGCGTGGGAGGGATCCCTGCTCCCGTTGCCAACCCCAGGATTCACTTTCAGCAGGATCTGAACCTGCCAGCAGCTGCCTGGATGTCGGTAGCCAAGTGCATTTACAACCCCCAAGAACCAATCCTTCAGGCTGGGACTCCAGTTGTAAGGAAAAAAATTGTTTTGTTTTGGATTCTGAGTTTTCATGCTTGGCACAGGGCTTAGTGCAAAGTATATAGGCAAAAGCCCCCGAACTGGGGGGGGCCATCCCTGAGGCTGGGGCAGGGAGAGAGGTGGGGACTGCGACCCTGGTGGACCCTTCGCCTTGGACAGGCAGCAGAGCTGCTGGCTCCTATAGTGCAAGCTGTCTACTGCTCAAGGGTCCCTGTGAGGGACCCTCTGTGCTGCAGGCTGTGGCCATGACACGAGGATGTGTCTGCTTAGAGGAAAGACCACTGGGTTCCTATTTGCTCAAAGGCAGCTTATGGTTTAGTGATGGCCTGAAAGGTGATGTTGGTCACCTGGGGCTCACCTGGGCTTAGAGCTGCCGCTGCTGAGAGCTGGACTGGCATCCTCTGCTGAGGTGGAGTCCAGCTGCTTTGGGGGGCGGGAGCTCCCTGCAGGAGGAGAGGTCGCTGCATGAGGAGAGGTTGCTGCGTACTGAGAAGTTCTTTTGTGCCCGTACCGGGAAGTCCCTGGGAATGGAGTGGCCTCAGCCCCTGTCTTCCCCTGCTTGGCTGTGGTTCCTGCTGGGTAGAGCCCAGGAGAAGCTACAAGTCCAAAAGCAATGCCTCAGCATCCTTCCTGACCCTTGCATCCCAGCATCCCAGACCTCTGACCCTTGACCCCTGAACCCTAGCCTCTCTGGGACCCATTTCTCAGAACATCCCCAGCTAAAGGATACCCCAGTAAGCAAACAGATGTAGATGAAGCCATTCTGAGGAAGCAGACCGTAGATCAGACACACCCCACAGCTGTGTGTGATGTTTAGTCTCTTTCTGTGCCCACAGCCTGTTCCCTCTGTGGGGAGGTATAAGCACTCCCCTTCCTCGCTTCCATGACCCTTTCCAGTGACCATTCAGTGGCCACTTTCCTGCCCTCCCTCTACAGTCACAGTCAATTGTCACCTCCTTCCTCACCAGAAGGGCAGGTCCTCGCCTCACCATCATGTGCCCCCTCCCCACCACCCGTGCCTCAGTAAGGTCTTGACTTCCTTCTGCAGCCATGAGACCAAGAAGGGCAGGGTGGCAGGGATGAGTCCAGAGGTCAGGGCCCAACGCCCGGCCTTTCTGGCTTGCCCCCGAGACTCTGGATGGCACAGACAGAACACGAGCTTTGGGGTCAGGCTGTGACCACTTCCAGGCTCTGGCGCTTCCTGTGTGACCCTAAGCGAGTGACCTAACCCTGCTGAGCCTGTACTTCCACAGCTGGACGACCCAGTTCCCAGGCCTGTGGGGACACCTAAGTGGTCATAAAGTATTGTGTCTGGTACCAGGCAGGCACTCACTGGCTGCTTCTGTAAGAAGGGTGGCAAGGGATGGGGCGGAATCGCCATTCACTCACTCAATCCTGGGGGCTGGGTTTGCTGAGTTTTTGCCTTGGGCTGCAGGCGTGTTGTAGCCAGAAGCTGGAAGGTGGGAGAAGGGGAGGGAGGACAGCAGGGTCCTAGAGGAAAGGGAGAGGCTGCTCTCAGGGGCGGCACCGCTCTGAACCCCTTTTCCTTCCTTGGGAGGGGCTGGCAGCTTTCCTACCCCCAACCTCAGCACAGAGCACTGCTGTCTTTCGCCTCAGCCAACCAGGAGCCACGTGGCGGGTTCCAGCAGATCCCTGGTCTTCTCCTTCTGCAGCCCTCTGGCCTCTCACCTAGCTCAGACCCTCAGTTTCCCCTGTCCCCACCTGCCTCTCAGCCTGCTTCTTCCCTGCCACCCTTCACATTATGCCAGTTTTGTCTCAAAAGTCTGTGTTGGATCCCATCCCTCTCTGCCTTAGAACAGTGAGTGGCTCTCCATTGCCTATAAGCCGAAGTTCAAACTTTTTTTTTTTTTGAGACAGAGTCTCGCTCCGTCGCCCAGGCTGGAGTGCAGTAGCGGGATCTCAGCCCACTGCAAGCTCCACCTCCTGGGCTCACGCCATTCTCCTGCCTCAGCCTCCCAAGTAGCTGGGACGACAGGCGCCCGCCGCCACGCCCGGCTAATTTTTTGTATTTTTAGTAGAGACGGGGTTTCACCGTGTTAGCCAGGATGGTCTCGATCTCCTGACCTGGTGATCTGCCCGAATCGGCCTCCCAAAGTGCTGAGATTACAGGTGTGAGCCGAAGTTCCAACTTTTTAGTATGCCTTTTGAGGCCTCTTAAACTCAGGCTTCAGGCTGGGCGTGGCAGCTCACACTTGGGCAATAAGAACAAAATTTTGTCTCCAAGAAAAAAAAGAAAAAAAAGCAAAGAACAAAACTCAGGCTTTGAACCACCTTGTCAACCTCGCCTCTTTCCCTGTTCAGTGCTCCAGCCATAGAGTTGTCCTCTAGTCCCGACTAAGCCAGCCTCCCGCCCACCTCCGTGCCTTGGACATGCTGTTCCTCTGTGTACGATGGCTTTCGTTTCCATCTCTGCCTGAAGCACTTCGTTCTGTCCTTCAGCACAAGCTCAAGGTCAACTCCTCTGAAATGTCTTCCCCAGAAGCAGCGAATCTTTTTTCCTTTGTGCACTCACAGTCCCCTGTGCATGCCTCCAGTGGTGCTAATGCTCACTTACACTGCAATTTCTTGTGTACTGGGTCTCCCTGCTGGGCTGAGACTCCTTAAGGGCAAAATGCCTATCCTCTGTGCCCAGCACAGTGGGCAGAAGCCTGATACAACCAACCCCCCAGGAGCTACTCCAGTCCCCACTTTCCCAAGTCTGTCTGTCACCTCCCCAGTCCTTGCTGACTGTGTGCCATCCTGGACTCTCCCTCTTTGTCCACCACCTTCTCTTCTTCGGATTGAGTATCCCCTATCCAAAATGCTTGGGAGCAGAAGTGTTTCAGATTTCGGAATATTTGCATTATATCTGCTGATTCAGCATCCCTAATCTGGAAATCTGAAATCCAAAATGCCCCAATGAGCATTTCCGTTGTGTGTGTGATGCTGGCACACAAAAAGTTTCAGACTTTGGAGTATTTTGCATTTTTGGATTAGGGATACTCAATATGTAACACTAGGTCAGTTTATTCTTGGATTTTTCTAAGTAGATAATAAAATCTTTTGCAAATGCAGAGTATTTATCTTTTCCTTTCCAACATTTATACTTCTTCCTTTTTTTTTGAGACTAAGTCTTGCTGTCTACCAGCGAGTGCAGTGGCGTGATCTCGGCTCACTGCAACCTCTGCCTCCCGGGTTCAAGCAATTCTCTGCCTCAGCCTCCTGAGTAGCTGGGATTACAGGCGCCTGCCACTATACCTGGCTAATTTTTGTATTTTTAGTAGAGACGGGGTTTCACCATTTTGGCCAGGCTGGTCTTGAACTCTTGATCTCATGATCCACCCACCTTGATCTCCCAAAGTGGTGGGATTACAGGCGTGAGCCACCACATCTGGCCTTATACTTCTTAATCTTGCATATTTCATTGCCTAGGGTCTTCAGACAAAGATGAATAAAAGAAAATGATAGTAGGCTGGTCAGGTGCAGTGGCTCATACCAGCAATCTCAGTACTTTGAGAGGCCGAGGTGGGCAGATGGCTTGAGTCCAGGAGTTTGAGACCAGACAGGCCAATATGGCAAAACCACATCTTAAAAAAAACAAAAAACAAAATGTAGCTAGGCACAGTGGCTTGTGCCTGTGGCCCCAGCTACTCTGGAGGCTGAGGTGGGAGGATTACTTGAGCCTGGGAGGCAGAGGTTGTAATGAGCCAAGATTGTGTCACTGCACTCCAGTCTGGATGACAGAGTGAGACCCCATTTCAGAAAAATGAATGAATGAATGAATAATAAATAAATAAATAAAAAGAAAAGAAATGATAGTAGGTACATCTGTCTTTTTCTGACTTTCTTAGAAATTCTTCCCATGGTTCACCATATTCAATGGTGTGCTGGAGATGGCTCGCACTGGCTCACAAGAGCTCATTGTCAACTTTTCAGGAATTGGTGAGACCGTTGTTAAACTGTCGATGGCTGGAAATTGGCCATGGGAATTGGACCACAGAAATGGACACCACAGAAATTGGAAAACACCACAAAATGAGAGCATCTGCATCCCCAGCCTGCTCAACATTTACCAGCACACCACTGTCGTGAGTCTTCTTCATTTTCAATATCCCAACTGCCATCAGAGAGAGGCCAACAAAGTCTGATACAGGAGGATAATATAGCAATACACATATCATACGCAAATAAAGAATTACAAATGAGGGTAAGTCTAAAACACAGGTGAACTTGCTCATAACTTGCAGAAATGACATATGAACACTGATAAGAATTGGAAGAGATAAGAGAATCTTGTAAATAATGAAGAACAGATTCAACGTAGTTTGATGCTGCTGCTTTTTGGCAAGTTTACTTTTATTTCCCCAAATTAAAGATCCATGGATAAGGGAATAAAAAAAAATTAGGGGATATGGTGGTAGGGATGGGCCTGGGATTGGGATAGGTCCCAGCTATGGGGCTAGAAGAGGAATAAAGCAGACATCAAAGCTGGAAATGACTTGTGTTTTAATCCTGGTTCCACCACTTCCTGCTGTGAGATCTTGGGCAAATCACTTAGTCTCTTGGACTCTCAGTCCCTCATCTGTGAAATGGGGATACAAAGACATACTTCGCCCTCACTGGCCAGCAGACCAAGGCTCCCACTCCCCTGGGCCCTCTCTGGCTTCTTTCTCCTTAGTTCATCAGGTCTAGGTGGGGATCTGGGCTCCCAGAGAGGTGTTCTATCCTCTACCAGTTCCCACAGCTCCAGCCTTGGTCCTCTAGTTTCCCTGCATTTAACGATCTCTCCTTCAGGCACACTACCCAGAGGCTGGTTCCCAGGCACTCTAGCACCTGTGGCTAGACTTCAATATCTGGGGAGGTGGAGGCCAGGAGGGCAGAGGTGAGGGCACATGCAGGGTGAGGCCAGCATGACCAGGGCTGAGGTGACGCTGTGGGCTGGGTCTGGAATGCAGCAATTGTTGGCCCAGCCTCGGGAGGCCTCAGGAATATCTCTGACACCAGGCGAGGAGTCTTCTTTATCCCCTGATATGTCTATCTTGTACCCAGCCTATGGAAATCTCCTTCCAGCACATCTGGGCAGAAAGGAAAGGCACCGAGTCCAGCCCTGGACAGATCTGGGTCCAGTCCTGCTCTGACATCTACTAGTGGTGTGACCGTGGGCAGCAAGAGTGAAAGAATGGCTAAGACTCATGCAGCTCCCTCTGTACCCCAAGCCTTGCTCAGCGCTTGACCTGCATGATCTCCCTAAGGACTCAGTGCCCCTAAGGTTTGCACCAGGATTATGCCCCACCGCCCCTCCCGCTTCCCTCTGCAGCTCCTGTCCCTAGCCTGGGAAAGGAGAGATATTTGTTACCTGGAAAGACGAACAGAGATATCAGTAAAGACTCATCGGGGCCCCGTTTTTCGACCCCACACCAGTACTTCCCAGCGTCTTGTAGGGTGAGGTTCCACAGTGTCACAATTAGCGAGAGCTCCTGGCGGTTGTCATGGATGGACACCCTGCCCTCTGTCGTCTCCTGGCCTTCTTTTCCCGCATAGATGGTGCCAGAGCAGCGAGGGAAGAGGAGCCCACCCTTCCTGCACCAGTACTTCCGGTGGTCCCTCAGCTCTTCCCTATAGGTGCACCGCAGGGACACAGTGTCCCCTTCGAACCTACTGATTTCCTTCGGGCCCTCCAGGGCTTCATAACCTAAAATCAGAGCAGGAGTGGAGGTTGGAATAACCAGGCTCCATGTACCAAGGTCAAGGCCAGAGCTTCCATTTTAGGAGGAGGAAGGAAGGCTTTTCTCAGTCATCCCTTCTGGGGACAGCCTTGGAAGAGCCATTACTTCCTTGCTACTCTGGGCGAACTTGGGGCAGGGCTGTTGCTGTTTCCCTAACCCTGGCCCATTGAGAAATTGGGGCTGGGGGAGTGTTCTAGGTTCAGATGGAATTTGACAGTCAGATAGCCAGCAGGGTTTCTGGGTGTTTTGTTTTGTTTTGTTTTGTTTGTTTTTGAGATGGAGTCTCGCTCTGTTGCCCAGGCTGGAGTGCAGTGGCATGATGTCTGCTCACTGAAACCTCTACCTCCCGGGTTCAAGCGATTCTCCTGCCTCAGCCTCCTGAGTAGCTGGGACTACAGCCATGTGCTACCATGCCCGGGTAATTTTTTGTATTTTTAGTAGAGACAGGGTTTCACTGTGTTGGCCAGGATGGTCTTGATCTCCTGACCTAGTGATTCGCCTGCCTCAGCCTCCCAAAGAGCTGGGATTACAAGCATGAGCCACCGCGCCTGGCCTTGTTTTGTTTTTAGACAGGATCTCACTCTGTTGCTCAGGCTGGAGGGCACTGGTGCTCATGGCTCACTGTAGCCTTGACTTCTGGGGCTCAAGGGATCCTCCCACCTTAGCCTCCCACTAGCTAGGACTGCAGGTGTGCACCACCATGCCTGGCTAATTTGTTTGTTTGTTTGTAGAGATGGGGTCTCACCATTGCCAAATGAACAACTGACATCAGTTGTAGGATGCATCCTGATTTTGTGTTAGAAGGTAAAGAAAAAGAAAGCAAAAGAATTGACGAAACATGCCGGGCGCGGTGGCTCACGCCTGTAATCCCAGCACTTTGGGAGGCCGAGGCGGGCGGATCACAAGGTCAGGAGATCGAGACCACGGTGAAACCCCGTTTCTACTAAAAATACAAAAAAAAAAAAAATTAGCCGGGCGCGGTGGCGGGCGCCTGTAGTCCCAGCTACTCAGGAGGCTGAGGCAGGAGAATGGCGTGAACCCGGGAGGCGGAGCTTGCAGTGAGCCGAGATTGCGCCACTGCACTCCAGCCTGGGCGACAGAGCGAGACTCTGTCTCAAAAAAAAAAAAAAAAAAAAAAAAGAATTGACGAAACATGGTAATTCTTCATCTCTCAGGGTTGTGGGGAGAGGCACAGCCGAGATTCAACAAATATATGCTGAGTTTAACAGAGCAACCAGACGGGGTGTCTTCTCTGCCTCCAGGATTGGCACAGGGTAGAAAAATTAAGATTAGAGAGGCAAAGCAACTCTCACAGCCACATTGCCATGAGGGGAAACCCACAGGTCTGAGAGAAAACCTGGCTCTAGGTTCCAGAAACAGCAAGTGGGGCCCGGCGCCGTCCCCACCTCACCCCACCCCCACCCCGCCCGGCTCCCCTAGGGTTGAGGAGGCTGAGGATAGGTGGGGTGGGCTATCAGGCAGTCAGGAGGTCCTTCTCCTGCAGACCCCAAGGGTGAGCCCCACATCCCTCCCAAGACCCCCTCCCCATCTCACCTGGGAGCACCAGGCAACCCCATATCAGGACCAGAAGCCGCATTCTGGGCGCTGGACACCGCCGGAGCAGACGCTGGGAACTGTGAGCTGCTCTTCAGCCACGCGGGTCTTTAACTTCCTCCAGTCGCGTGAAACCAGGCCGAGGAAGCGAGGGGAGGGGCGTGTGGGTCACCCCTCCGCAGGCCCAGCCGGAGAGGCGCCTCTGCCTTCCCTTTTCTGAGCGCCCATGCGTGCCTACCCCTCGGCTCACCTCCCAGGACTGAAAACCCACACTGGCGCTTCTCCCAAACTCTTGCCCCTTCAAGGGGGCCTTAACCTGTGGTCCGTGCGCCCTAAGGGGCCTGTAAGTCGAATTCGCATGGGAAAAAGTTACATATGGACTTTCATCAACTTCTAATATTTAGCTTTTCCTCGTATTAACAGTGTACTGTTAGCAGTACCTGTAACTTTGTTACCAATTACAATCACAGACACTGGCACATCAGGTTGTGGATATCTTGAAACCTCGTGTGTACTCCTCACTGCTTAGAAAATAATGAGTTCCGAGACCTGCCTCTAGAGCTGGTTATTAACCATAATGAAACGGCTATTATTATATTACACATTTATAAAGAGTTTTGAGAATCATCTCACCAGTATTAGTTTTCTTTTCAACATATATATTTTATTTATATATTTACGCGCCATTATACTGAGAGAGGGGTCCATAAACTTCAGCAGACTACCATGTGGTCAGTGGTACAGAAAGAAGCTTGTCCCTGGGGCAAGGCCCCGGGCCCCTCCTCCGCCATCGCCTTTTGGAGGGCGCAGTACTGCCCTTGGCCACGGGGCGGCGGTGCAGACGGGGCTGAGCAAAGCCGTAGGGCTGCGGTGAGCCGAATTCACTGGAGCCGAGCCTTGGGCCGGCAGGCCCTGCAAGATAGGTCTCCCCCACGCCTGCGGAGTTGTTTTGGCGTTTGAAAAAGTGAATTGATGGTTTCTCCATCGCGGACTTGGATCCTCCTTAAAAGGACCAAAACAAACATGCAAACTATTGGGAGCCCAGACACACTGGCTTGAAAAATGACTTTTTTTTTTTTTTGGTCTGTTTGCAAAGTTCATACAGATTGTAAGCAAAATTTTACACAATACAGAACGTAAAAAGGAAAGAAAGAAAAAAAGGAGTGTTTCTTGTAATTCCCCTTCTGCTTTAGAAAAGCATCATTAATATTTTGGCATATATCATTCCAAATGTTCAGTTGGAATTTTACTCACTTGTCAGGTTAATATTTGAAGCATTAATTCAGTGGTTCTGGAAGGGGAGATTGTGTGTGTGTGTGAGTCTAGTAATGTGGGGAGAAGTGTTTTAATTTCACAATGACTGCGAAGCACTGCTGCCATTTCTGGGCAGGGACAGCTGTTCACGTTGGTAAAAACTCTGTTACCATGATCTCAGCCCCTGCCTCCCTTTTACATGTACAGGCTACAAAATGTGATCTGTTTTTGCAGTTTAAAAAAAAATACATATTAAAAAATATTTGGCCGGGTGCCGCGGCTCACGCCTGTAATCCCAGCACTTTGGGAGGCCAAGGCGGGTGGATCACGAGATCAGTAGTTCAAGACCATCCTGGCCAACATGGAGAAACCCGGTCTCTACTTAAAAAAATACAAAAATTAGCTGGGCATGGTGGCACGTGCCTGTAATCCCAGCTACTCTGGAGACTGAGGCAGGAGAATTGCTTGAACCGGGACCCAGAAGGCAGAGGTTGCAGTGAGTCAAGATGGTGCCACTGCTCTCCAGCCTGGGCTACAGAGTAAGACTCCGTCTCAAAAAAATAAATTAAAAAAAAAAAATTATGGCCCAGCACGGTGGCTCACGCCTGTCATCCCAGCACTTTGGGAGGCCGAGGTGGACGGATCATCTGAAGTCGGGAGTTCGAGACCAGCCTGACCAACGTGGAGAAACCCAGTCTCCAATAAAAATATAAAATTAGCCAGGCGTGGTGGCACATGCCTATAATCTCAGCTACTCAGGGAGGCTGAGGCAGGAGAATCGCTTGAACTCAGAAGGTGGAGCTTGCAGTGAACTGAGATCACGCCATTGCACTCCAGCCTGGACGACAAGAGTGAAACTCTGTCTAAAAAAAGAAAAAAAATTATTTGTTTATTTATTTACTTATTTTAAGATGGGTCTCACTCTTGTTGCCCAAACTGGAGTGCGGTGGCATCATCACAGCTCACTGCAGCCTCAAACTCCCAGACTCAAGTGGTGCTCCCACCTCAGCCTCCCAGGTAGCTGGCACTACAGGCGTACACCACCATGCCTGGCTAATTTTTTTATTTTTAGTAGAGACAGGGTCTTGTTAGGTTGTCCAGGCTTGTCTCAAACTCCTGGTTTCAAGCAATCCTCCCACGTTGGCCTCCCAAAGTGCTGGGATTACAGGCACGAGCCACCATGCCTGGCCTTAAAATAATATTTATTCTAACATTTGATAGCATATCTTTGCTCCTTTATTTATTTATTTTTGTCCTTACACAGAATAATTTCTGATCCTCTACGTTTCTTAAATTCAGACTTATTTATTATATGCAAGATAAGTATCTGACACTTCATTACACTTTCTAGTGTCATGGGACCTGAGCACTGACAGATTGAAATATATGTCATTTGGTTATAAATCACTTTCCTTTTATTTTTTTCTCCCTAGTATAGCTCAGGCACTAGAGTGTGATTTTTAAAAAGTAAGTGCATGAGAAGGCATATTATTTACGATTGTCATTTTAAGAGAGTAAGTGAGGTGTTACCAAATGTTTATCTATATAAAGAGGGTGTTGAGTGGGTCCCTACCCTCTTCCTGCATATTTGAAGGTCCTACCCCTCCACTTCCCAGCCCCACACCTAGCTCAGGAGGCTGGCTCAAGAACTCCATTAGAAACAGATTCACCAGGCTGGGAAGTGGAGCAAGGGCTGGGGAGAAGGGTGAAAGTGAGGTGCTGGCATGAGCCTTGCACCTAGTTCTACCCTTAGGCCACACTCTGGGGTAGAAGGGGCCGACAGGCAGACCGCCGTGGTGGGCTGGGGATCTGAGGAGAGAGGACACTTTCGTCCTGCTTCCCACCAGAAGCACGGGGAGGTGCCCCACCATCACTGCATCTGGGAGAGGCAACGGGGCACAAGGGCTCCTGGACAGATCACTGGGATCGTGGCAGCCTCATCGCATCCTCAGGAAGGGCTCTGTGTGCCGAAGAGGTGCAATTGCAGGGATGAGGGGACTGAGCTGCTTGATCTTCGATGGCCACCCTGGTCCAATTCCTTTCAGTTTGGACTTGGACTAAATCACTTCAGCTGCTTCAGGAGGGTCACTTGCTTCTCTTAGATCAAGGTTTCCCCAACCTCAGTACTATCGACATCTTGGGTTAGATAATTCTTTGTGGTGGGAGGCTGTCCTGTGAATTATAGGATGTTTAGCAGCATCTCCAGCTGTACCCCCTAGATGCCAGTAGTCCCTCCCCAGTTGTGATGATCAAAAATGTCTCCAGGCTGGGTGAGGTGGCTCACGCTTATAATCCCAGCACTTTGGGAGGCCAAGGTGAGTGGATCGCTTGAGCCCAGGAGTTTGAGACCAGCCTGGGCAACATGACAAAACCCCATCTCTGCAAAAAATACAGAAAATTAGCCAGGCATGGCAGTGTGCACCTGTGGTCCCAGCTACTCAGGAGGCTGAGGTGACAGAATCACCTGGGCCTGGGAGGTCAAGGCTGCAGGGAGTCAAGATCCCACCACTGCACCCCAGCCTGGGCGATGGGAGTGAGACCTTGTCTCAAAAAAAAAAAAAAAAAAAAAAGCCTCTGGGCATTGTCAAACATTCCACTGGGAGGTAAAAATATCCTGGGTTAGAACTGCTGTCTTAGATGTTGAATAAGTCTATGGACAAGTAAGTGTACTTTTGCATAAGTTATGTTTATTGTTTATGTAGGTCGGGGTGTTCCATCTTTTGGCTTCCCTGGGCCACAATGGAAGAAGAAGAATTGTCTTGGACCACACATGAAATACAGAAACACTAATGATTGTTTTGGGCAGCATTTAAAGCCATCCTGCGCTGCATGCAGCCCGTGGGCCGCGGGGGGATAAGCTTGATGTAGGCGTAGTAACAAGGTTTTGGAAACAGGACAGTGGGCAGAACCTAATGCTGAACCCCAGAATTAGGTAAAACTGCATCCCTCTTCCCTCGGTGGAGCTGGGGCCATGCCTGTAATACTCAGGGTGAGGTGTGGTGTAGCAATTTAGAATACATACTTTTTGCAGGTGGGCCAGCTCCCCAGAGAAAAGGAATCAGAGGGCTGGGTTACACATGCCTTGTTCCTCCTTCAACATTCATCAATCAAATCAGCAGAGGCATGGAGAAAGGCATGGAGAGGCATAGAGAGAGGCGTGGAGAGAGTCCTAGAGTTTTGGGCCAGTGGGGTTCTCTGCTCGTGGAAGGAAACATCAGCAGTGGGGAAGATGTGTCCCAGCAAAGATAAATGAGCCACAAGACGGGAAAATTTGGATTCCTGAGCTACCACTTGGAAGACAACTGCCCTGGACAGCCACCAAGCGTGCGGCAGACTTGGAGTGAGCAAGCGACAGACTTTTCTGTGTTTAGCCACTGAGATCTTGCAGTTTGCTTGTTGCTGTAGCACAGTGTAGACCACCACCATGCTTTCTGTTTTCTGTCACACATTCATCCTCTAGTCTCCCCTCAGCTTCCCTACCCTAGCTGGTTGCAAACTCGATTTTTCAACTTTCTCTGTCAAACAAATCTGAAAACTCCCTTTCTTTTTTTTTTTTCTTTTTTTCTTTTTCTTTTTCTTTTTTTTTTTTTTTGAGACAGCAGGATCTCACTCTGTCACCTAGGCTGGAGTGCAATGGCGCGATCTCGGCTCACTGCAACCTCCACCTCCTGGGTCCAAGGGATTCTTGTGCCTCAGCTTCTTGAGTAGCTGGGATTACAGGCATGCACCACCATGCCAGCTCATTTTCTTGTATTTTTAGTAGAGACAGGGCTTCACCACGTTGACCAAGCTGGTCTCAAACTCCTGACCTCAAATGATCTGCCTGCTTCGGTCTCCCAAAGTGCTGGGATTACAGGTGTGAGCCACCGCACCCGGCCCCTTTCAAATTTTTTATGTTGACCAATTACTTCTGGGAATGGCAGGGAATATGATGGAGGAGGGCAGTAATGGGAGACTGGTAATACCTTGGAAGCTGAATCAGTAAATTCCCACATTTACTGATAGGTAAATTTCAAATCTTCTCAGAAACTTTGAAGGCTAACTGCAATGTATTATCCTGGACTGGATCCCAGAACAGACAAAGGATATTCGTGGAAAAACTAGTGAAAGATTAATAAAGTCTGGAATTTCCCTAATAATAACGTACCAGTGTCCATGTCTTAGTTTTGACAAATGTATCATGATTATGTAGGATGTTAACATTAGAGAAAACAGGGGGAAAGGTGTTC